CACGACCCGGTACCAATTGGTCCCGGGGGTTGGGGACCACTGAGTTAAATCATACGCAGAGATGCACAACAAATGGGAGATTTAATTTAATGCTGCTGATGTCGCTTTAGTAGCTCTTTCATTTCGTGTCTATTGAGTTTTTATGAGCTCCACAGAAAGTGTTTTGGTTGCTCAAATTTATGGGACAAGATTTTCAGATCTCTGCACGCATGAACCCTGGCTGACTAAGTCGGCTGATGAAACCGGAAGAATAATATTAAACATAATAATAAAATGAAATAAAACCAGTGTGATGCATGACTATGAGGCGAGTGCGAAAGCTCCTCACCAGACAGAACCTGCATGATGCATGGTTCTTTAATTAAGGTACCGGCCAACAGATACCACATACATAAACTTTACAGGGAAGACAGAGCCACACACTGAGCAGCTTGTTGAGATGTAAATAGGAACATGTCTGTGAGCATGAGTGAGTATGAATGTGAGGAGAAACTGCTTGAAGAAGGAATACTGGATTTCAAATGGAACAGAAATACCATATGAAGGATGGATAGGAGTTTTGTCACCTTTTACCAAAATGATGTATCTAGAATGAAAGAGAAACCTGTCTGGGTCCCATCCTGGTTGCAAGCAGTAGCCTTGACCACCCCATCATCAGCTATGTGGTTCACAGTTAGTGCTGTAACCCGAATCATGGCCTGAATGACTAGCTATCATTGAGCAGCTGATTCAGATTTCATGTCATGATAAGGGTAGGATTACAGTGACAGTTGAAAATGTAATTGACCATGATATTACCCTCTGTGGCCAAACAACATTTGGCAGAATGTATAATGTTGGTTCAGTTTCCCCACTAGAAACTAAACCTGTGGAGGGTCAGAGACCGCTGCCATTGGACAGTGGTGCCACCAACCAGACAGAGCAGGTCAGCCCTCTAGCAGAAACAGAGCCATGGGATCCATCTGTAGATCTGAGTCATCTGTCAGGGAGTCAACAATCACAGGTAAAACAGATGCTCAGAGAAGAGTGTGATGTGTTTGCAAAATCTTTGATCTCTAAATGATCAAAGATTTAGAGATGGACATTCAGCTTAATGATAATGTGCCAGTTAAGAAATGCTATTCCTTGACACCTCTGCCAGGAAGTAAAAACATACATACAGGATTTACTCAACTGAGGTTGGATCCAAAAATCCTATTCCTTACAGTAATCTCCTGTGTGGTGTGTGTGAGGAAGAAAGGTGGAAGTCTTCGTCTGTGCATAGACTACAGACTGTTGAACTTAAAAACAGTCCCAGACCGTCATCTAATTCCTAGGATACAGGAAATGTTAGAAAACTTTGGGGGGAAATTCCTGGTTCACAGTGTAGGACCAAGGGAAGGCCTACCACCAAGGTTTCATTAGTGAGAAAATCAGACCATGTACAGCCTTCATAACACCTTGGGGAATGTACAAATGTGTTGGAATCCCATTTGGACTGATAAATGCGCCCCAGCTGCTTTTCAGCACTACATGGAAGGATGTTTGGGGTAATTCAGAGATAAAGTTTGTTTACCTTACCTGGATGATGTATTAGTGTTTAGTTCCACCTTTGAACAACACATCCAACATGTAAGGCAGATCCTGCAACAGAGACAATGAAAGATAAAGTTAAGGCCAAAGAAATGCAACTTTTTCAAACGAGAAGTCTGTTATGTGTGTTGCATCACATCAACTGACAACAGTTAATAAAGATGGCACAAACTTTGCAATATTGTAATATTTGTTAAAATACTCACCTTGTTAATTTAACTTTAATCCTAGTTTTGTGGATATCGTTCTGTATTGCTACAAATCTTAAAATGTTGTCAGGCAACTTTTATGTGGCAGGGGTTGTTGCACCCCAGAAGAATTTTATTTAAATTATTTCTATTATTTAAAGTTATGGATAAAACACTCTTTTATTCATTTCTTTAATACATTTTATTTGTCTTATTAATTTTATTGTTTAAGACATCATGCCTAGTTATTTTTGTTCAAGCATAGAAGTTTTACAGAATTAGAGCTGAATGCTATGTGACTTTTTCTGCAGCAGAAGCAGCGTCAGTTTTAAGTTGTAACTAGAAGAAAAAACTAGAAGAAACTATGAAACGTTTTTTCTGTGCACTAAGGCCCCGAAAAATACACACAGAGTGGGGCAAATCTAGTTGTCAAATCTGAAGAGCTGTCTGTTTTATGAGTGCAACACAATAAATTAACTGGATGCTTTGTACTAGTAAATACAGCTGGATGTTATAACCTTTTGACATTTCTGAAGCAGGTGGCATAGAACTGCATTCATCACAGGAGTGACTGCAAGATCAAGTTATTTTCTGTAGTAAGTCAATGGCAGACTACACTAAGCACTAAAGGGAATATTTGGCAAATATCATTTTCTCAGACAGCCATAACCCACGTGTTTTATTTAACACCATTGACTCTGTGCTTAATATTCCACAGAATGCCTGTTTGGAAGCTTCTTATGACTTGTGTGATGATTTTCTGCGTTTCTTTATTGAAAAGGTTGGTAGTACCAGGGCTCTTATCACAGCTCCTGACTCTGACCCCTCTGTTTTATTTCGACTCGACTGGATTACTGCAGCTCACTTTATCTGGGAGTCAGTCAGGCGCTGCTCTCACGTCTGCAGCTGGTTCAGAATGCTGCTGCACGACTTTTGACAGGAACTCGAAAGAGGGAGCATGTGACCCCTGTCCTGGCCTCACTTCACTGGCTGCCTGTATATTTTAGGATTCATTTTAAAATTCTTATGTTTGTTTTTAAATCACTACATAATCTTGCCCCGGCTTACCTCTCTGTGCTTCTTCACCCTTACATACCTTATCGGTCTCTCAGGTCAGCAGATCAGTTGCTCTTGGAGGTACCGAGATCCAGAAAGAAGCTCAGAGGGGACAGGGCTTTCTCTGTCGTTCCATAACGACTTGTCGTTATGGAACGACTTGTCGTTCCATAACTTGTCTTTCCCCAAGTTATGGAACGACTTGCCTTTGCACGTTAGAGAGGCCCCTTCACTGTCCACTTTTAAAGCTCGTCTTAAAACCCATCTATTTTACTTGGCTTTCAACTCCAGTGGGATCTAGTTTTAAATTGTATGTTTGTTTTTAAACTGTAAGAGTTTGTATTTTTTATTTTATTTTTATTGTTATGTTGTGTTTTAATGTACAGCACTTTGTATCAGCTGTGGTTGTTTTAAAGTGCTTTATAAATAAAGTTGGTATGGTATGGTATGGTAAGCATTTTCATGAAGTCATATTAATACAAATAACATTACCTAATTAAAATACTGAAATAAATTTCAATTGTCATTACCTTGTTTCCTTATTGACTGAAGCTAATTTTAAGTTGCTTTTTATGCATTTTTCTGCCTTGCTATTAAACCTTTCCTTCATTGCAGTTCCAGTACAACTGCATGTCCTACTGGCACAAAAAGGTTCATTAGAACTGTTTGTTCTGTTAGCATTGATACTTTATACAGAACGCTGCCAAAACAAAAAACCTGAAACATTACCTGCAGTTACAAGAAACAAAGTAACTACATTCAATTGACCTTTAGACAATGTTCTGTATGAATCCTTATCTCTCCAGGGCTGCTGCTTTATAAAACACAGTTTTCAGCTCAGCACACTTAGAAACATTGCTTGTTTCAGCTTCTTTTCGGTCTGTTTTGGAACAGGTAAGATTTTTTAATATGCTAAAGGAAAATAAAATTAACTGGGAAAAAAAGAGTATCTTTGCTTAGAATACACTGCAGCAAATAAAAATGTGTGTTTACTGAGTTCTAAAAATGTTTAAAGAGGACAATTTTCTGGTTAATTTAATTTCACTGATATTAATGTGGTGGAGGTGTGTGGCTGTTTGTTGAAATCAAAGATCTGTGGATCTCCAAAGCTGAATTTGTTGATTCATTGCTGGGAATCAGAATTCTGGAAACCAAAAATGTTGTAGCAACCTCACAAGGTGACATCAAAATAATTGGGAATCAGAACTCGCTTTAACGTTTGTCTTATTTAATAACTACATTTGTAATCCATAATTTATTATTCATTAATGAAGCCAAGCTCAGAATCTAATTAGAAAATTAAGAGACTTTACACACAAGGAATGATCACCGACATGCTTATTTCTAATTGAGTCTGAGAATTTATTTACTAAATAGCCCAACTTTACAGCTGAATTATTCTGTGAATAACTAATTTCTTTAACTGGCATGTAACCGAACTACTGATAAGACAAAAGGAATACATTGAATAAGAAAACGGGAATTAAATCATGTTAATGAATGAGCTTCAATGTTTGTTTTTTCACATATATCTACTGGCTGAACCGTTTTGTGTTATCTAAAACTCTACTAATGTTTCACCATCATTAGCTGCTGCTCCCATGAACAAATACGCTCTAACTCAAAAATGTGATATTTGCTTGCACGAACACATGCAAAAAATAACAGAGATACACAATGTAAAAATGTACATAAAAGTTGAAATGCATGTATGCTTTAAATGTGTAATTGTTTCAATAAATATTTAAATGTATTTAATACATGTAATAATCACAATATGCTTAGGGTCAGCCAGACCTTCCAAATTCAATGGGTAATAATGCTATACTCTGAAAATGAATGGCACTGTAAACAGATATTTACCCATATATTAAATACATTTAAATATTTATTGAAACAATTCCACATTTAATTTATACATGCATTTGAATTTTTTTGTACATTTTTACATATCTCTGATCAGTTATTTTTCATTTTTGCATGTGTTAGCACAACCGTTTCGGTAACACTTTGATGGACATGAAATTAACCAAGAATCATCATCTGTCATAAATATGTCATAATAGTTGTTAATTATCAAAGTTTAAAATATCTTTGTGTATTATTACATTACTAAATTTTGATAATTAATTGGTTAATGTCAGCTTGTCATAACAAAGACATCTTGAATAATGTCAGCTTTGCATTAAAAGTGTAATTATTTTCCGAATGACACTTAATGACAACCATCACAAATATTCATGAAGAATGAAGAATGTTCATGACAGTTGTTAGGTAATATCTATGTAAGTGTCATGCCAGTCTTATGGACACCCCTTCAAATAAAGCGTTAACTGTCTTATATGATGTATAAATAAGTCATAAAAATAAGGAAAATGCAATGCATTATGTCAAAAACAGTTTGTGGTATGTTGGTGCGGATTCACTTTTAAGGTGAGTGGTGGGCGGCACCAACATACCCTTTAAAGCCAGGTGTGTGGGGTGCGCACTCACATACAATTGTTTTGAGCTGTGGAGATGGCGTTGTGTGAGCTTGTGTGATCCTGTCTTTCCTCAAGCATCAAGTAATGGTCTTCAGGTTAGTTTTGTGATTTTCCTTCTGTTGGATTTTAGATTAGTTTGTGGTGATTGTGCTTCCTTTGGGTTCAGGATTGTGGTTGTGCTGGTGCTCCCGTTTTGCTCTCTGGGAGTGTGTGTGATCAGGCACGCGTCGTGGGCATGGAGCTTTTAACCGAGGTAGGTGGGTTCATTGTCACCTTGTTGAGCTCGGTGCCATAGTTCACCTTAAATTTTATTTTTAGATCCTCAGGTGTTCTGGACTTGGTGGTGGACTGTTGTGTGGTTTCCCCCCTCCCCCCTCCTGCCGCTTACTGGTGTGCGCACCTGGCCTAATTGTCCGTGGCGCAAGGGGAGCACAGCCACGCCAACGCCGTTTTGTCCTTACTTTTGCTTCATGCCTTTTCAGCTGGGTGTCATTTACCCAACTGATGATTTATTCTTTATTTTGGCCAGGGTTCAACCGTTTATGGCGAGTCCCCCTATTATTTTTCAGTACGTTTATTTACAATTTGTATTTTTTTCCTTTGTTTGCATGTAGGTTTAATTTGTCAATTGCTTGCATGATTTGGTTTATTTAGTTTGTTCAGTGTTTTGCTCGTCTTTTTGTTCATTTGATTTGCATGTTTTCTTTGGTTGGGTTGCAGTGTTTTTTTTGTTGTTTTTTTTGACAATACAAAAATAATCACACCTCTACTTAATGTCCCATCCTGCCAACAACAACGCCAGTTGTGGCAATAGCGGTGTCTACTATTAAATTTTAAAGTATTACATCCAACAACGCCACCTGAGATCTTGGCCCCAGGACTATTCAACTTCTAATATCTACAATAAGGCCACGCCAGGTCGGGACAACAAAGAGGTGGATCATAATGTTTTTAAAAAAAGAATTTAATTTATTTCTTCCAAAAGTTTAAAATAGGCCTAAAACAATAGAATATATGCGTTAAAGAAGACAGTTTACAAACTTCACAAAATACATATTGCACATCAGCTCTTCAAGTTGTTTTCAAACTCAATTAATAACTAAACAAAAAAAAATCAATACAGAAAACAAAACTCTGCAACCCAACCAAAGAAAACATGCAAAGCAAATGAACAAAAAGCAAGACGAGCAAAGCACTGAACAAAACTAAATAAACCAAATCATGCAAGCAATTGACAAATTAAACCTACATGCAAACAAAGAAAAAAATACAAAGGAAGCACAATCACCACAAACTAATCTAAAATCCAACAGAAGGAAAATCACAAAACCAACCTGAAGACCATTACTTGATTGAGGAAAGACAGGATCACACAAGCTCACACAACGCCATCTCCACAGCTCAAAACAATTGTATGTGAGTGCGCACCCCACACACCTGGCTTTAAAGGATATGCTGGTGCCGCCCACTACTCACCTTAAAGGTGAATCCGCACCAACATACCACAAGTTTAATTCCTTTTTTTCTCTATCATTTTGCTTCTGACTACAGCGATGCTCCCTCATTCAACTTCAGCTCTTCTCCTCTTAAGCATCCTCCTACATCACTCCTCTGTTCTGTCGTGTCGGATCGGGACCCAAACAGAGTGTGATGCTGCTCCTTTTGCACCAGGACACAACTTGGTGGGGGAAGGTTTTGATATAGTCACACTGGAGAGAAAAGGAGCTGATGTGATTGATGTGAAGACTTACCTGAGCCCCAGCAAAACCTGTAAACTCTGCAGCAACCCTCTTCAAAACCATGTCCTCCAAAAAGTAATTAAAATGCATAAATAAACAGCTGCACATCTGACTTGAGGGATTAACAATAACGTGATTTTTCTTCATTTTAAGCTTCCATCTTCTGTTGTGGACTGGAGTTACGTCAGTCAATGCAGGCCTGACATCCACAGCAAACTTCACACCTCTCTCAGGTAAAGTATTTAAACCGGATTGTGAACACTGTAAAAGTTGAATCATACAATTAAACTAAGAATTACTGAATTTTTTTTTTATTTTTTTTTACATGTTACAATTACATGTTCCAATCAGCTGTGTATGTTTATTGGAACTTTATGTGGTTTCACTATGTGAAACATTATATAGAATAATTATACACATGATTTTTACAAGTTACAAGTAATGCAAACCTAACATTGAAAATTGGAATAACACAGCAAACCAATAAAAATATTTCATAATACAGAAGTACAGGTTTAATGAAAAGTGTGCTTAACACCGGCTCAGAGGTTGTTATTTTAAAAGTGCTTTTAATCTGAAAACGGAGCCAAATATGGAAGCATTTTCTAATTTATTGAATATAATTGTAGTTTATAAATACCTGCCTAATAAGGCTTAGGTATTAAAATAACAATAGTTAAATCCACAATTTCACTAAGCTAGAACGCTTTATTACCTAATGAAAAATGAACTGTGTAGATGTTTAATAATAATTACTTCCTTTAAAATGTGCCAACAGCTCTCTGGTTGAGTCTTACACATCCCAAGATACCAATGATTGGTCGGTAAGAAACTGAACATTTCAGAATATTTTCAAATTCAGTTAGAACTGAAGTAAGTGAGTGGCATAGTGTTAACAAAAATATGGCTTCTTATTTAACACCCTATAAACTACATGTGTTGTCTGTATTTCATCAGGTTGGCTTGAAGTTTGTGTTTGCCGGCCTAGTTGCGGGAGGAACCGGCTCCAAAGCCTACAAATTTGCTTTACAAAGGAGCAAAGAGGATCGCTACACTTTCAGCATACACAGTGTCGCCTGCAGTCATTATGGGTAGAATGGAAATTAGACTTTTTTCATTGAGTTCAGACAGGTCATGGTTATTGAAATAATTGTCTAATTTTGTCTTGGTGTCTAGTTTTATATTATCAAACACACCTCCCTTAACCTTAAAATTCAAAAGACGGTTAGACATCCTTCCATCTCACTACAACATCTCCACTAAGAATGAGTATACAAAGCTCATACAGACCTATGGCACACACTACTTCAGAATGGTGAGAACTTTGGCACACACACACATTGTGAATTAGTTACAGGCATTTTTCTGCAGGAAATCATTTTAAACCACTTTATACCTGTTTTAGGTTAATCTTGGAGGGCGACTGAGACGACTGATATCTTCACGAAGCTGTTTGTCCTCCCTGAATAGCTTAAATGCAAGACAGGTAATAAAAAGCACAAAACAACAGATTTTTATGTGATACTTCCATGATACTAACGCGCAGGTGTGAAAGTAAGCCAGTACGGCCCGGTATTCCGTAAAATATTCTGGGTTTCCCCACGTTGGGCACCACTTTGTTGTTGGGCAAAACCCCCCTCCCCTCTTATCTCTCTCTCTACTTCCCCTTCTGAGAGGAGGGAGATGTGCTTCCAACCTCCATCTAACGGGTCCGAGAAGCCTCTAACTCCTGAGTATTACTACAGATGAGAATATAGAGGACATTCTGTTTAAGCTGGGCGTGAGAAAGAGTAGCCTGGTTTCTAACGACCTCTGCCTCCAGATGTCCCACCCTTTTTCACTCTGTGAATTAGCCAGATAGAGCAGCCCGCAATCAGCTAGTTTCACAGAGCACACCTGTTAACGGTCGCTCTTTCTCTTTTTATTACAACTTGCACTTGTTACTGAACCAGGTTGGTTTTAGTGACTCTGGTGAGTCCCAAGGGTGTTGTTTTGGCTAAAAGCAACCTATAAAACATTTCCCACTTTTTGCTCCCAGAATCAAACTTTATAGCTATTTTACAACCATCAAAGAACTTTAAGGTGACTCATTGGCTCATTAACATCTTTTAGATTTTCTTAATGCTAATTATTTTATTAGTAAGGCAGTTTTGCAAGGGTCGGTACAACTTAAATCAGTAGCAGAAATAATCAAATAAGTAAAATCAATAATCTAGCCTATTTTCCCTAATTCTGACACTGAACTAAAAAAGGGAAACTTTGAGAGAGACGGATGGAGTTTGGTATTTTGAACCCCAGAACAGGCCTGATGATGAAAAAGATGTTGCAGCAGCAGAAGGCTCACAGTACAGGAAGAGTACAGACTTAGAGCGGCAGGTCTCGGTGTTAGGGTGACTTCCTCATGCATGTAGCGGTCCTCAGCTTCTTGTCTTGCAGCTCTGTAGCTCCTTTCTCTTCGTCTCACGATCTTTCTGGTCCATCGAAATGTAGACGAGCTGATCTCATGGAAGGAACACACCAGTTCTTCCTCTTTGTCTTTATCTTCATCTTTGCCTTGGTCTTTGTCTTTGGGGTCTCGAACCCAGCTGATGAGAGAAATGCAATTTGAAGCCACATGTTGCGGGGCTAACGGGTTGGTCCCCATGTGCAGAACAGTCTTCGGCTCTGTGGCTCCGGCTCTTCTTCAGCTGCAGAGTTCTTTGTCCATCTCGATCTTGGCTCGAAGCTGCCTGAAGGATCCAACCAAAGATTCCTCTTTTGCACTCACCTTATAAAGGGTTTATCCACCCTTTTGGTGCATTTGCATTGGCCGATGATCTCATATCCATCACCATCTTTGGACATGACCTGATGTCTGTTCTAATGTCCCCGAGTTGCTCAACAGTCCTCTTGTGTCTAACCTTTTCTTAGGTAAGTTTTAAGTTTAGCAATAAGGCCTTGGTCACCTCTGCTCTCCTATCAGTTCCTCTTTCCCCCTGACTTTTCACCTACCATCTACCTCCAACACAACATCAGTGATCTTTAATTACAGTTACACATTTTACACCATTTCAAGTTCAATGTCAAAATCACATTTATAACCCCTTAGTTTCTCTGATTTAGCATTCACTTATAATTTTATAATAACCATTACTTATTAGTTACTCTTATTATAATCATGATGTGTTATTACAGACATTTCTGAAAAGAAACCAAGAATAATCCATTATTCTAATTATTTGACACCATGTTACAGTTACTTCTTTCACCGTTAAGTACTTCCATAAGTGTAAGAGTAAATATTCTTATAATCAAACCAACATCAACCACTGGTTAAACCAATATTGATTATTGGCTTAATTATAAGTTATCATTATTAATTCAAGTATTTTACTCTGGGTTTTATCCAATTACTCAAAATGTTTAGATTTTATTCTTTAAACCTTTAATGCTTTGAAATGAGTAATCTGAACAACTTTTATTCATATGCAGGCTGGAAACGTCCTCTTTCTTCAGGAAACCTGCTCTTCCTGTTTCATGACTCTCTTTCTGCCCGACTATGATTTTTTTTTAAATTAAATAGAAAAAAGTAGAATTAAAGCAAAGTTTGCAGGACACAATAACAATACATACAACCAGATTAATTAGATTACAGTTTGACTCTACTGTTGGGGCTAGATGTATGTACTCAATTTTAAAGGTAACTTTATTCATTGTTATTATTAAACTAAAATCTCCAGCATGGGGAAGTGGGATGAGCTCGACTTTTCTCGACAACTAGGAGAACGACTGCAATTTGAGTCAAAATAGCTAGTAATAGGAAGTTTGAAACACAAGTTAATCTGTTTGTAAATAGGTTTTTTCTCTCATTTCTTATTGTTTCTGAACTGTTGGTGCTGTGTGATGGAGCCTGTCCCTCTCTCTCTCCCCTCCTGGCGCTCGTAGGTTTCTCAGAAGCCTTCAAACATTTCTCCTTTATAACGTCTGTCTAATTACAAAATCTCCCAATTAAAAGCAAACAGTGATTATATAGTTGTGATTCGTGTCATTTTGCTCAATCTGGGTTTGTTTCCCAGCCCCGGTCTTTCTGCATGGAGTTTGCATGTTCTCCCTGTGCATGCGTGAGTTTTCTCCGGGTACTCCGGTTTCCTCCCACAGTCCAAAAACATGACTATCAGGTTAATTGGCCTCTCCAAATTGCCCCTAGGTGTGAGTGTGTGTGTGCGTGGTTGTTTGTCTCTGTGTTGCCCTGCGACAGACTGGCGACCTGTCCAGGTGACCCCGCCTCTCGCCCGGAACGATAGCTGGAGATAGGCACCAGCAACCCTCCCGACCCCACTAAGGGACAATGGTGTAAAAGAAAATGGATGGATGGATTTGAGAAAATATAATCAAAGTTTACAATTTATGTTAAAGCTGGTGGCTATACTTACATTTAAACTGAAGCATACAATTCAGCGAGGGATTTTATTTTTCTCAGAAGTTAACTTGAACTACACTTGATGGATTTTCCCTCCGTCTTCCCATCCATGCATCACCATAAGATGTTAAATAAAAACAAAGCCAATGTTGTGATCTGTAGCTTTCTGTGTTTACTTTTGGGTTTTTTCTGCATTTATTCTGATCCTGTTCCCTGTGAGTCTCTGTGATGTCCTGTCCTCCCTGTCTTGATTGATCCCAGCTGTGTCTCATTCCTTGATTACCCTCCCAGTGTATTTAGCCCCACCTGTTGTTCCTTGTCAGATCCTCGTCTAATGTCATATGCTATGTCGCTTGTCAGTTTTCCTCAGTTGAACTGTGAAGTCCTGAGGTTGCTTGTTTCAGTGTACAGTCTTTTGTCAGTTGCTACCGGTATTAGCTATGTGCTAATTTGCTGCCGTGCTGCCTGATCCTGGACTGTGAGTTTCTCATCATCTTCATCTGGGTCTCCGCGTTCATTCTCACCACCACCAACCACACCCCCTGACAGCCAAGAGATCGGTGTTGTTTTTTTCTGGCGTTTTCTTACGTTTTATTTTTATTCATTAATGGATATGACTTCAAATGTAACTGATTAACTTTAATCAAAACAAATTAAAGTAAAAGTAACTTAAAACAACTTAAAGGACAAATTAGGCAAATTGTAAATACATCAATAGATATAAATGTAACTAATTACTTTCCACCCTGTATGGCAGAATATATATATTTTTCCCATTGTGAAGTGTTTCCAGTTTCTGTGTATACAGGTATGCAACAGTACAGTAAAATAATGTTTCTATTTGTTTTGGTTTGCACAATGAGGCACAGATAATTTTCATCATAGTACCGGCAAGAATTTAAAACTACTTTCACCCCTACTTATATTATTACCAAATACAAGAAGCTGCAAAAATATGAAGTTCATCACTTCCAACAACCTACTTTAAGTATTTCTAGATGTGATTTTTTTTTTTTTTTGGTTTTGTTTTGTCCCTTTTAATTTCCAAGATTTTCTATATGAACATATTCTTCTCTGCTTGTGTCTGGGTCTTTATGTAAATATATGGTGTAATGCAGCTATTTTAAAAAAAAATCTCTTTGCTGTTCTTTCACCCAGATCCACACCTGTTTATCTATGGGTGTTGCTGTTGGCTTGGGGAAGATGAAAATCTCTTCTGTCGAGAAATCTTGCAGCAGTGTCCTACAAAACAAGGACTTTGCCACTGGCTACAGCTCTGGTCTCCACCAGCATTTCACAGAGGTTTCAGGAGGAAATGGTTGGTTGGGGGAGTTTTCAATTTCCCAAAATGATTCCATGGGCTTCATGAACTGGCTAAAGAGCCTGAAAGAACATCCAGGTGTTGTTTCGCACTCCCTTCGACCTCTCTATCAGCTTGTGCCAAATGAGCTTCAAAAGGCAGGGATGAAAGCTGCTATTGAGCAGTATTTGAAGGACAATGCTGTGAAGAAATCATCCCAAGAGCCACACTGTGAGGGCAGAACTCCTAATGTGGCCTCTAACTGCTGCCCTCAGCACGCCTCATGGGGAACTCTATCAGTGACCATTATTCGAGGCTGGGATCTATTCGGAGATGATCTTTCACTAACAGAAAGGTGGGTTGATGCAAAGGTAAAAAAAACAAAGACCTTATGGAACCTGATGAGCACACCTTTTATATGGCTCCTCTTTTGTTCACAGCTATGCCAAGATGTACTATGGTTCCATACAACGCAAGACCCAAATGATCGAATCCAATGATCCGAAGTGGAATGCTTGGTTTAATTTGGGCAAGGTCAGTAAACGTCATCATCACAGATTAGCTGAAAAAGCTCAACAACAGACAAACTGATCCATTTACTCTGCTGATGCAGAAGAATTTATAGAGTTAATACCAGCATCTATATTTGCAAAAATAGACATTCAATTAACAAAAGTGAGAATAATTGAGTTTTCATGCATCAGTCTTGAAAGAAAGCTGATCTATTCTTTGGTGCCACCAAAACTATGTTAGCAAACATTTCATATTGGGTCAAATATCATTTAATATCAGAAATGTGTTGTAGTTTCCATTGCAACTAGATGATGTTAAATTATTGATCATGAACTAATTTGTCCTTCAACTTGTTGCTCACATGAACCAGCAGCCACAATGACAAGAAAAGAGCATCTCCCTTTAGGCCCGACTCGTTCTTGTTTCGGTTCTCAGAACCAACCTGGGTGTCTGTGGACATGCGGCTCCCACACTCACTGCTCTGCTTAACCTGTTGTTGAGACAGGAAGTGCTGACCCTCTCTTATTGCTTTTTCAAATAAATCATCAGCATAAAAACTTGGCTTTCTAAAAAACAAATATACGAAATGAACCTTCAATGTCAAAGTAAAAACTTTTCTCCCAATTCTTTTCTCTGTCTTACTGATTGCTTAGTTTTTATTTTTAAAAACCTGTCTGAAATGCATAAATCAAATAAAAGTATAAAATGATATGTATTGCAGACAAACTGCATATTCTGAACTTGGGGAATGTACAATCAACTCCATTTCTAGATCCAAGCCAGGCTGCAGACTCTTTATGTTTTGGGATACTGGGTCAGCACCTGCATGAAAAAGTATTTGGTTTTACTTGAATAGACCATGCACATTTCATGGTGTTTATGGTCGAGTACAAATAAAAGTAAAAGCAGAAAAAAATCAGAAAATATTTGAACAGAAACCATTTTACACATATATTGTGTAAACAGACACAGCCTAGCTGATGTATTTCATATCTTGTGCTGTTGTGTTTCGGCTAACATTACTCTGCATTTATCAACTTTTGAGATGCATGGAAAACATTTTTATTTTCTATATCACTAAATAATTTGACTTTGAATGAGAAAATATGCATCTGAATGATCCTCCATTAAAATTTTCTCATGAAGGTTGACACAAACCTGGTTCTGAAGATTGAGGTTTGGGATGAAGATCCGAAACATGACGACCTTCTCGTTCACTGTGAGAAGTACCTGAGCCCTGGCACTCACACTTTCACGTGCACAGGAGGTTATGGAAACGTCGAGGTTAAATACACGCTGAAATGTGAGCCATATCTGACTGGAGAAATGTGCAGTCATTATAAACCATCTCCCTTAGAGACAGTAGATTGGTGAGTTTTGGGAATTAAAGCATTTCATCACATAAAATTAACTCACTAAATCTGGTAGAAACTCACAATTTATATTTAATTGCGCAACTTCATTAAAGACCTAGCCAAATATGTATTTCTCATACAATGAAAAAAAGTAAAGATTCTGTGTAACATTTAATCACAAGAAATAACTATGCTTTAATATATACAACCAGAAATTGTGTTCCCTTTAATGACAATAAAAATGTTGAAACTGCTACAAGTTGTTGACTTTGTATATTTTTGACAAATCTTGTATTGGTTGTATGAATTATGACATGTGTTACTATAA